AAATAAATGAGGTAAATAAAAGTTAATAAAAGTATAGAAAATTCGATCACGGTCGGAGAGCAAGAGTAGCCACAGCTGAGTTGCAAGGTGAATTCCAAAGGCTGCATCTGAATGGACTTGAAACAATTGAAAAATTATTATATGATGTTATAATGCAATCAAAGGATTGACACTGTTTATCTTCAATTGCTAAAGTATACGCGTTCACGTACAGGATCTTCAATTAGACAGAATAGCATCATCGTTGAATTCTCTAATTATTTTAGAGACGTGGGTGGATATTGAGAGAGCTTTAGACATTTCTAATAATAATATAGTAATTCAATTTAAAAGCCTATTGACCAGAGCAGGCGGAGCTGTAATAAACCATAGCACAGATGATGGAGCTCGTATAGTTCTCCACAAATAGAACTCAATGCACAAAAACTGGAATCAATGTATTTTCTTATTTGCTTGTGAAAGCAGGTTGAACCATGAGAGAACAGTAATATTTGTGGCAATTTATATTTCTCCCAACCCGTAAATAAAATTAATGAGTTAATCCACGAGAGTTTAATAAAACACACACCAGAAGATTACAATAAAATTCCGATGATTTTTTGAAGGTTTCACTTCTACCGGGTGTGCACAGCATAATAACCGCCATGTTTTTGAGGTTAGGAAAAAATTGTGACGTGATCGAGCAAAACGGATTTCAGATTCGTGTTTTTTCACGTTTCCGTCTATGCAGGTGACGGAAAATATGTATATGAATCAAAGGAATATACTTAACAACTCCAATTTGAATTCTTTGCAGAACTGCTCAACTATTTTCAAGAAAGATGTGAAGGAAATTCCCAGTAATAAGTCAATATTGAGACACGCGTGTAAAAACGAAATAACAGTTAATTCTGCCAAACTCACACAAACTCAATTTTGAAAGTACTCTATCAATGGCTGCGTTTCTTTATACATTCCGGATAATCCAATTTCACAGCCGGAATAAACAGAATGCGGTTGAAATATACGTCAACATATCATCAGGAACGTTCTAAAGAATAAATAAACAAAAAAGTTTATTCCAAACGTTCAGAATGAATAAAGAAATGCAGCCAATATAACTTTACCATTTTCAATACTTTTACTTGTGAATTAAAACTTTTTATGATGAATAAAAATATGTTACTCATACGACATGTTGCACAAATATTCTTAAGCAAAGTGTACACGGTAGAGAAATCTCGCCATAGTTTTACTGAAATAAAAATCTCCTCTCTTAATTAAGTTTACACGGTAGAGCAAATCTAGGAGATATTCACTCTAGCTAGAGTCAAAATAGAGAAATGTAAACTTTTTTCTATCGCGCATTCCACTAGCTGCGTAGGCACGGTAGGCTATTGTTACCTCGCGCCTAGAGTTAGTTTTCTATCTCGAATTATTGTCAACGCTTGTTATATATATTTATATCAGAGCCAGAGGTGGCGCCATTCGTGGACCGCTAACCCCTCGTCGATTTGACAGCATCCACGTTATAAAACGCACTAGGGATGAAAACTAAATTTTCAAATGGTACTTATTTGCCAAAAAAAATTTTTTCTAAAGTAGATAAATGTACCTAAAAATTAAATATGAGCATTTCCACAGAATGGTCAACCAGGACCGAGAGCTAAAATTTTAATTAACATAAATTTTTTTAAATACAATTTTACAAAGGTGTCTTAATTTTTTATAAAACAATGGTCTTATAACTTATCTCAGTAATTTTCATGAAAAAATCAGCCTAGAAAACTGAAAACTTATTTATTTTACTTAAAGGAATTTTTTTGCTTTAAATATTTTATATGTACAACTTATGTTAGTTATGGTTGCACTTTTGCAACATAAAGAATGGATACGAAGAAATTCTGATAAGTTTTGATGTCTTCTTTCGTTTTTATCTACTTTCTTTCAATAATTTTCAACGCGTTGCAATTCTGAACAGTTTGGTAGGTTGCGGTCCTTTTGAACAATATATACCCCGTGACTAACAGACCAGTTCATGCCTAAGGGGTTAGAATGGCACAATGCTATATCGGGACGGAACAGAACTGAGCCTTTATGTGGCTTTATGAACGAAAGCAAACGACATTGCAAACACTCCTTCATACAAATTGCTTGATTTATGAAGCGCGTGGTAATGATTTTTTGCTCTCGTGCCACACTGGCGGATGGCTTGCCACACCAAGTATTTATTAGGGCTCAAAAAATAATAAAAAACACGGAACTTGTCCAGTATTTTTAGCTTGAAGGCATCTTGGACTCCATTTGTCTTCGTTGCATTATAAAACCGAGCGCCCCGAATCTGCTTAAAGGCTGATTCGAGGTATGTTTCCTCATTCAGACACACTTTTTCATGCTTCGTCGCTGAAATACATAACGCCCTAACTAACTAAAAATCCAAAATTAACTTTTTCATTGATTATCGTGCATTTCATCGAATCGAATTTTAGGCAATACAAAAATTTAGTTAGTTGTGGTTTTTTGCATTTCAGCGACAATGTGAAATAGTATTAAGGATAATATCAGGGACCGTAAATAGCAGTTATTTTTTCCCAACAGTTAAACTTGGCCAGATATTTTTAAGCTCGAAATAAAAGTCTTTCCGGATAGTAAACAAACCGCTTATCCAAATTAAATAAATTTGGTACCAAATAAAAGAGGAATTAAATAGCTTTCAAACAGAAATAACTATCGAAGGCTACCACTTCTATTTATATATTTTTTTTTAATAATTTAATAAAAAAATGCATATTTTTACCGGCAAAACTCAGTCGGATATCTCGAAAATTGAGGGACTAGATTGCGTTCAAACAGTCAGACGGATGGCTAAATCGACTCAGCTTGACGTTCTGATCATTTTGGCGAACATTTATGTGGGTCTATATCTTCTTCTTCGTCGGCCGCTGTGGTGTAGTGGTAGGCAGTGCGCGCTTTCACCACACAGCACCTGGGTTCAAAGCAACATCGCAAAAAATATAGAAAAAAGGTTTTTTCTTAACAGCGGTCGTCCCTCGGCAGGCAATGGCAAACCTCCGATTGTATTTCTGCCATGAAAAACAGCTTCTCATAAAAATACAATCGCCGTTCGGGGTCGGCGTTAAACTATAGGTCCCTCCGCTTTGTGTGACAATAACAAGGCGCACGCCACAAATAGGAGGAGAAGCTCGGCCAAACACTAACATATGTGTAAGCGCCAATCTATTATTATTATTATATCTTCTTCTTCTGGTACTTACAAACATCGGACCAAACTTGTAATGCCATTTCAAGTTCATGAAAGGTTTAAAAATGATGGAAAAATCGTACTTCGCGACCCGTACGTTCGCTACCGGTACACTGAGGGGAGGAAATTATAATATTTAATTTGCAATGGAACTCGAACCCTAACCCTCTCGATGGAAATTATGGCAAGCATGCGCACTCAGCTACAGCCAGGCATATGTATAAATGTGCTTTCAAATGTTGAAATTCAACGGCATGCCTTGCGTGAAATATATCTTAACTAAATATAAGTTAACTTGAAGTTGATTAGGAAGGAACTAAAGGTCACTTTTATCTGTAAATTTTCTTTGAGGAAAGCTACCCTACAGGGAGTGATGTTAGCTTATACCTAACTTTAGTCTGTTTACGCGAACACTAGTGCAAGCTATTACCTGTGTATTTTGTTTGAAAAAAGGTAACTATAGTTCTAACTGTAGTCCTCAATAGTAGTGTTAAACATAGAGGACAATCTTAAAATACCAGAATTCGGGGGTGACAATTGAAAATGTTATAGTTTTTACTTCATTTTACAATTTTTAGACATCATACCTGCACAAAATTAAAGGGGTTTCCGAAGATGTTCCGTTCGTCGTCAGACAGATTTTTACGGATGAATTGATGGGCGCCTACAACTGGCATGGGTGATGCGAAAAGCAGGCCCTAGTCAAGCTTAAGCTGTTGGATTCCATTCTACGAGGTAAGTATTTATAAACTGTATAAACTATAATTTTGTTACACATGTATTCATTGTTTCATTTAGAAATCTTCAAACTACAAGGAAGTTTCGAGTTCGAACGAGGCGTTAAAAAAGCAGTGGAACTTAGCCATCACCGGATGTCGCAAAAAAAATTTGCAAGAAAGACGAAGAAGGAGGCTCATTAAACTTAAACTTAATATTTAATTTTGAATGATATTTTAATTTGTTTGAATGAACCAAGTATTGACACAGATTTTTTTGAAAATGAATGCGTAAATTTTTCCGTTAATTTTTATAAAAATATAGTTTACATTTAGCAAAAAACCAAACGAAAACTAAATTTTGAAACTTTGTGCGAAACTCAAGTTATACTGTTCGTTCATATAAATAAAACCGCAAATTAGTAAAAATATTAATGTATATATGTAATATTTATTTGTATTTTTATGTAACGTTTAGTAATATTTTAATTTGATGGATTTTAACATCAGGCCTGATTCCTTATCTTTGATTGTTTTCTACATCAGGTTTGATGAATCAACTTTGAACGCTTTCCACATCAGGTTTGACCCCTCAGCTTTGACAGATTATTACATCAGGCTTGATGTATATTGTCCTTAAGAAACTGATTGAAAGTTTGTTCTTCGAACTGATTGAAATATCGTTTAGCACTTTCGCTCAGATGAGCAATCATATGATGGTCAGTGTTCTTGCAGGGTACTTTTGTGGGGCGATGGCCGCAAAAGTAGGACCTGTATACCTCTGCATTACATGTCAAATAACTTGTAACTAACTAACTAATTTCTCATTTATTTTTATTTTTTTACACTTTTGTTTATTTAATTTATATTCAACATTGAATATTTGTTTATTTATTTACATATTCTTCAGTAGATGGTCATATATTGAAATTCCTTCAGACATAACATCAAAACTATAATACAGAATTTCGAACTTCATTTTATTTGTCCTGAATTCGAAAAAGAATTTGTGAATTGCAAAAAAATTTATTCAAATTAGTTATTGCATGCGGATTTTTAAATAGAAACTTGTAAAGAAAACAAACTTCCGATTGCATCTGCATGACTGCTGCACGACTTTACAACTCACTTTAAGTTGGTTTTTTTTCATAGCTTATTAAAAGTGAGGTATTTATCGAAATCCCATCAAGAAGCTAACTATAAGTTGGTTATTTTTAACAACTGATAATTTTTCACTGCAGGATTACTTT